CGGACACGGAAAAAGACAAAAAGGAAAAAACAAAAAAAAAAAAAACCACTGCTAAGAGAAATTAAAGAGGACACAAGAAGATGGAAAGATATCCCATGTTCTTGAATTGGAAGAATTAACATTGTGAAAATGTCCATACTACCCAAAGTGATATACAAATTCAATGCAGTCCCCATCAAAATTCCAATGACATTTTTCTCTGGAAAAAACTATCCAGACATTTATATGGAATAACAAAAGACCACGCATAGCCAAAGCAATTCTGAGCAAAAAAAAAATAAAGCTGTAAGCATAACACTACCTGACTTTAAACTATACTACAAAGCTATAATAACCAAAACAGTATGGTACTGGCATAAAAACAGACATACTGATCAATGGAATAGAATAGAGAATCCAGAAATCAACCCAGACACCTACAGCCATCTGATCTCTGACAAAGGCAACAAGCCTATACACTGGGGAAGAGACTGCCTCTTCTGCAAATGGTGCTGGGATAACTGGATATCGATATGCAGGAGAATGAAACTAGACCCTTACCTCTCACGATACACTAAAATCAACTCAAAATGGATTAAAGAATTAAATATACACCCTGAAACAATGAAACTTCTCAAATAAAACATAGGAGAAACACTTCAGGAAGTAGGACTTGGCACAGACTTCATGAATACGACTCCAAAAGCATGGGCAGTCAAAGGAAAAATAAACAAATGGGATTATATCAAACTAAAAAGCTTCCGCCCAGCAAAAGAAACAATTAACAGGGTTAAAAGACAACCAACAGAGTGGAAGAAAATATTTGCAAAATATACATCTGACAAAGGATTAATATCCAGAATATACAAGGAACTCAAACAACTTTACAACAACAACAAAAAAAACAAGTAACCCAATTAAAAAATGGGCAAAAGAGCTAAATAGGCATTTCTCAAAGGCAGGTATGCGAATGGCCAACAGTTACATGAAAAAATTCTCAACATCACTCAGCATCCGGGAAATGCAAATCAAAAGCACACTGAGATACCATCTCGCCCCAGTTAGGATAGCTAATGTCCAAAAGACTGAGAATGATAAATGCTGGTGAGGTTGCAAAGAAATAGGAACTCTCATACATTGTTGGTGGGACTGCAAAATGGTGCAGCCTCTATGGAAAATGGTATGGAGGTTCCTCAAACAATTGCAGATAGATCTACCATATGACCCAGCTAT